CTTCGTTAGTGCATTCTTATTAGAATTCATGAATTTAACCCTTGACTTTGCCTTTTCTATATTTTCGCCTTCAGGTGAGCGGTGTGATTGCATCCTAATTGACTTTATCGCAAATGCCCTTAGGGCATAAAATTGAACTATCTGGTACAAATTCTATGTAATTGTATGCCAGTATTGAAAGAAACAATCAATCTGATAAGAAATGGCTGCGACTTGTTTTGAAAATGAGGCGTAAAAAATTACCAGTGAGAATATTCCGTTGGCATCGGTTGTACCATTATTGGCGACTTTATTGCCTGCACCAGCAAAACGTACGACGGCAAAAATAAAAGTACTAGGGAAAGTTATAAGATAATAGCATAACTTCCATTCTGTTTTTTGACCAACTCGATAATTTTTCAGAAAAATCTTTTCAATAGATATCATGATTAAGAGTTGAAGAGACACTTTCACACAGTTACAATGAAGTTTCCCTTTTTTTGCCACAGTCAATGTGTTTATTTGTCTAATGTAAAGTAATTATATACATCTTATAAAAGAATAATGTTAATTGACATAAAAATAAAATTTGTTCTTTTCCTAGATCAAACTTTTATGAAATATTTTTAATTGTCTGAATAATGTACAATTTCAATTACACTGGTAATTTGCTACTTGTTTTGGATCTTGTTAAATGTTCGGAACTTTGAACAAAGCTTTTCTGATTGAATTAACCTTTTCCTGGGGGCTGGGACATATATGTCCCGAGCAAAATGTACGGCAACTGGGGGCTCGGGACAGTTTTTCCTTGGTCGCAGGGGTAGGAATTCTTATGCTTGAGGACTATTTTACGACACCCTAACAAGTGCGTTCTTTTGTGGGTTCCACTAATGGGTAGAGGTAATTGCCCGTAATTTGAACCCACAAGGTTTGTTTGCGAATTCGGTGCCTTCCGGGAAATATTTTCTCAAGAGGAGAAAATAAAAAGAATATTTTCTTACTTTCATTTTTGCGCGTTTGCATTTTAAGATCTTTTTTCAATTTTTTTTTCTTCTGCAAATACTGTTATAAATTCTTTGAGTTGATATTTATCATTTTTCCGATTGATATTAAATAACGGCTAAACGTAAAGGAAATTTTCTTTGTTTCATTCTTTTTGTAATTTTTTATTTCAATATATTCCAGTTTTTAATGTGCATGTAAATGCAGTGTAATGAATATAAATGTTTCAGGTGATGAAAATTAATTTTAATGTTATTTCTAAATCACATGCATTCCACAACTGCTATTTACTTGAGTGAAATTTTGGTTTGTTATGTTCTAAATTATAACTAGCGGCTGAGCGGATAAAATTTCTTTAACACTGATAATTCAACACGGGTTCAAATTTCAATGAATGGATCGACTGCATGAACCTTTCCTATTCGTTCACGTATATGAGCCAATTTCTTTCGAACATCCTCCACGAAAGTCCTCATCGATTAGGCAGTTAATCTTTTCTTTAATCAGACAAATAAAAATAAGAGTTTTATTAGAAATAAGAAAGCTATATTTATGAGCATCTCATAACTATATTTAGAAACTTTCCCTTTATGAATAACTTTGGTGATAAAATGAATTTCGACTGTGCGATAAATGAAACACGAATTTTTATTAAAGCAGTTAGTGAAGAACATTTTATAATTCAAAAGTTAAAAAAGTTTCAAAACTTATTTATTTATCCATTGTTATATGTTTGCGTCTATAATATATCTGTATAATTTTTTTCAGAAAGTAGATACGTTAGTTTAGATTAATTAAACATGGGAAAACACATGGAGGTTGACTTTCTAAGGGAAAGGATGCCTTCGTGGAGAACTTTTAAGGGAAACTATCTCGCATTCATGTTTCACATGGGGCAAACAACGAAAACCAACCATGCAGCCAACCCGATCGCCTGGCCTCGAACCCAAGTCGAACTACCAGTATTCAGTGGTCTTGACCACTCAGTCACAAGTAGTGTTCAGAAAGTAATTAATTTTTACGTGAGAATTGTGTTTTGGAGGGAATCAAACAATATATTAGGATACTAAGGATGTATAGTGTAGTTGAGATGTGTACTATTTTTTAGTTCCCTGATCCTCAGTACGATTCTTTATTAATATTCATCAACTCAGTACGAATCTTCATTGCCAGCTTCATTACTCAGAAAGAAAGCAATGATAAAAAGCTTGAGATCTGAAAATTTCGCATAACAATCTGATACCTCAAAGGCGATTTTAGCATTCTGAAAATGTAGATCATAAAAACTGAAGAAGTATTTCTCTATTCGACAAAAATCCTTATTTTTTGAAATTTTAATGGGTTCCTGAATATGCAATTTTGCTTTTAAAGAAAAAAATGCAGCAACAGTATAAATCGGTGAACAACTATTTCCCTTCTATTCTAAGGTAAATGTAATATATAATATCTCTAAGTGGTAAACCTAAATTTTTGTTATTGAATACATTGAAACTCAAAAAGGATTTTATTTTCTAAACCTCCAGTGTTTGCTTCTGCATTTCTTTACTGAACCAAAAACTGTGAAGCGGTTAAAAAATTTAAAGATCTTATAACCCTGATATGAAGGCAGATCAAGAATGGGAACGCTATTTGCAACGTCACATGGAACAAAAATTTATTTAAAAAAATTCTTACTTCGTGCATTGGTAAATTTTTGTTAGTGTTGTTCAATAATGATTCAATGGAGCACAAGCGCAATTACCAATTTCTTTTTTTCCAGAAATGAATTTTACAGAGGTGTAAATCCAACTAACACTCATTTGGGAACTCGAAAATGCTTTCTAAATGACACTTGTAATAATTAAACTGTATTTAATTTGCTCTTCAATATCAGGATAATTATAATACTTAAAATGAAAATCTATATATTTTTTGAAGGATATGTTTGAATGTGTTAAATCACTAAATTCTCTATACTGTGACAAATGAATATAGGTAACTCTGATTACTTCGCTTATTTTTCAGTATATAACCTATGTGCAAATTTAAAAAGTTATTTTAACCAAAAAATGAACAAAATTGTCTAGTTGTAGCATAAAACATTTCGTCTGAAAATAAAACAATAAATTGTGTTTCGTGGGAAAACTTCATACATCTACCTGCAGTGTGAAAGCGATTAGAATACTTCCCTCATTCTAACGCCTAGAGCTTTGGAGCTAGACCGAAAAGAAATACTGACCGTTTCTCTGCCTGCCAACAAAAGAGCACTAATCATCTCGTCGTTAAGACTCGATCTGAAAAAATTTTCCCCCTTTCCATAACCGCTGAGTGAAGAGCCCCCAGTGAAGGAACACAACTACTTTTTGAGCCCACGTGAAAAGGTTAATGTTACTTCATCAAAAAGATCATCCAGCTTTTCTTTTAGCTTTAAATCTTCAGCAATTTCCTCAAATTTCTGGTATGCTAAAAATTAATTACTTAACAGACTTACTATTGAATAATTTGACAAGTGTAGCCACAATTTGCCAATTTTCATCAAAGCGTTCTTCTAAAGAAGAAATTGCCAAGGAAAAATAATTTAAAGCCATCTATAAACTTTTGAGATTCTCCATTTTCTAATTTTATCAAATGTTCATGAACTTAAATATGAATGTGATGTTTCGGCAGACTGTCAACCAGTTGCAATACCCATGTGAGTGAAACTACTCGCTGTCAGGACTTAAATGAAAATTAAAGAGAAAAACGTTTAAGGTTTTTCAACTTTTTTCTCTATGTTATGATACTAACATATACATGCAATTATTTGGATTTATAATAGTTGTTTTCTGAAGCAACAGACATGTAATGGTACTTTTATATAATATAGCTACATTATAATAAATTAAGATATAAATAAGTAGTAGTTATTTTCCTGCTATCTTGGCAACAGCTCCTTCTGACTAAAAACAGAATTCCAATGACTCACAACCACTCAATCTGCAAATGTCTGTAATCTAAACTCAATTTTGAAAGCAAACAAACAAATTTAGATTTTCAGAAAATAAATTCCCGCAAAGCCAAAATATTGTCAACTGAAATAAGATTTGTTAGCTTTCTTTGTTAAAACACAGAAAGTTATAAGATACATATTAGAAGTCATAAGATAACAGTATACAAATTTACAAATGGCACTCGCATATTAAAAATATATAATGAATCGGATGGTTATCAGGGCTGTCTGTTGAACTCTTGAATTTCTTTTGAAATGTTTAACAGCATTGTAAAGGTTATCTAACAAGAATTAATGAAGTTTTGATTTTAAGTGATGGAGATCGATTTTTCACTTATAGCAGATATGCTATCATCACACTCAGATGGCTTGCAATTGGTTTGAGAAGTATTCCCAGACAGCTACAGAACATCATTTGTGTCTCTATTGTCAGACATGAATCTTGTTGAACATACAATTAATAGAGTCACAAGATCACAGCCATAACATCCATGCACAAGATTCAGCATCTACCACAACCATGTAGTTACGACTGGCTATCAAGACAGCATAACAACTCTTCTGGGGGACTTCCACTGATTACTAGTTGAGTTAATGCCATGTCAAAGAGCTACATTTAATTAACGTACCTTTATCATATGGAAACTTCTTTAGAAGTTGCAATACCATAAAGCTAATGTCTTGATTTTAGGCATATCAGTATACATTTAAGAAATGCCTTAAAAAAAACATGTTCCTCTTGGTACCTAATGTTACAAATAATAATCAATTTTTAATGTTGTTTATAATTATGCATCTATAAAATTATAGTGAATGCAATTAAAAATAGGCACTTAACATTAAATTTTCTTCATAATTATATAGTATAATTTAAGAACAGAAAATGTATATCCTTTAAAAAGATATAATTAAAATATTTTTATACCGATATATAAAACTAATAATTAATTAAAGAATAAGTTATCAAGCACTTCACCACAGTAAAAGGAGCCATAAATCATATATTGAAACAAGCTTAATAGCTGCATAATAACTATTTAAGGAAACTCACCATCACATGGATTCATGATAGCATCATGAATTAATGTTGATGTAGCACCAGCTAGCCCTGTATGGAAATTTTTAATATCTTAAAAACATGAAAAATCATAAAAAGAAACTTATTCAGAAGTCTTAAATTTTTAAGTAAAAAAGCAACACACTGATATATTTAGAGAAAAATAATAAGCAATTTTGAATATTCTTCAACCACTTGAATAGTAATCATTTACATCTACCCAGTCAATAGCTTTTCTCTTCATATTGTCTTACTCTACGAAGAAATTTGCCTTTTTTCCTTAATTATCCAGAAATTACTCTTATGATCTGAGGATTATGAAAAGATACAGTAAAAGCAAAATATATGTGAAATAAGGTACTACATGTTGTATTCAACAAAGACATGTGCAGACGATAAACAGATTTATTATATGAAATATACAAAGAAAATTATATTAACACCTGTCACTTGTTTGGTTGTTTTCCATAAGAGATGGACAGCAGGTAAAATGTTAGCATAAATGGTATATAAGGGTACAAGTAGATATTTGGAGTACTATTTTTAAAAAAAGGAAAGTTATAAGATGATAGCATAACTTCCATTCTGTTTTTTGTAATAAAGCCAGTATTTGAGTTACATTATGAAGCTGTTGAATGTTTTATCAAATGTTATCAGGGTCAATGTTCCTTCTAACCTCCTTCGGGAACATACAAGGACCTGACTCGGAACAGAGAGCTTACTAAAGCTATGTTCACTAATTGTGGTAAGTAGACAGGATACAGACGAAGGGTATACAAAACCCTTTATTTTTCTCTATATACAATAACTTTCCGTACTTCGGAATACAAAGACCGCCACTTGGGGGTCTAACGTAAAATATAAAAATAAAACTAAACTCTAATTTAACTTTGAATAATACAACGTGGAAGATTGGCCTTATATTAACAGGAAGCCGTATGTAGTACAGAGAACTGTGAACACTACAATACGTTTAAAATTATCAAGAGGATTAAAAACCTCTGGCCTGGAAGGCAACCAGCAACTGAGTAAAACTTCTAAGGTAAGCGGCCTGCTTCGACTCACTGCTGCTTCCTCTCTCTCTCTCTCTTGGCAAAAAGCCACAACTTAATACTTGGCGTTCGCCAGACAAACTTTGCATAAAAACCTTAACGCTTTTAATTCTGGCCGGAAGTAGAAAATAAGAAGTGATAGTAAAGATTTAAAAATAAATAAACGTTAGTAAAACTTAAGATCCTTACATACTTCCCGCCAGAGTTAATTAGTTTGAAACTGAGGTCTAAAACGACCTTGTTGAAAACTTTTTAGCTCTAGAATCTAACGCGAGGCCAATCTTTTACAAACATTTCTTCGCTAGAAACTAGAAATTTAAAAGAAAGAAATTTGTTTTTACAATAGCAGCTCCCAGGATATACAACAATTTTTTTCATCTGTACTGCATCTAAACAGGAGCTTTTATTCAAATCTGGTTCCTTCCAGAGATCTGGAAGGAAAACTAGTTTAATGAAATGTTACACAATGAAATGGCAAGTAACATGCATATTTATATTTTCTCTTAACATTCTTATTTCATTCATGACTATTTTAATTATCTCTCCCCGTGCTCTCTGACATGTGTTGTAAAAAAACACCAAACACGAATGTGTTTATGTCTACGTGTTCCAACACTTCCTCCTACAATCAAAACACTAACGTGTTAAAATTCAACATAACAAGACCCTCGTAACACACCCTAATTTCAATCAACTCTAAACCCTGAGGTACTATTCTGAAAAGTGGCTAACTCTGAAAGTGTAGCGTCAGAGAGCCTAACTACATTCATTCAACCTTTAACACATATTCACCATGATTTAGTCTTTTTACAGTCACACGAATAAAAATTTTTAACATTACTTTCACTTTTACCATATCACGGTATTTCTTAACATTTAAAATAACAGTTCACATTGTATATAAGAACATATTAACATGCCGTTAATTTTACGCATTTGAAAACATACATTAGTAGTACATTGTTAACTTCTATTCTTTTCAAAGCAAGTGCCAATTCTTTCTACATTGAAATACTACATTTCAAAAAGTCTTTCAGACTAAAACTTCTTTCTTGCCAGAATGTTTTAAATAAAATTTATACAATAATTTTTACTTTTTACAATATTTAAGTCTTTACACAACGCTATTATACATCAACTTTAGTTTTACGCGCGAGTAATTGAAAAACATAATACCAAAATCGGTAACAACTCATTTCTCGCCCTTTTTGGCGATAAAGGTAGACCTCGCATGAGGTAAAACTTCTTGAAATCTGCCACTTGCAGTAAGAATGAAAGATTAACTTAAGTTTGCAAAGTAACATAAAATTTTACTTATCTTTGTGATATTCGGACATCCTTTTCTGGCCCAGTCCTGGAAAGGTAGCGCAGATAGTAGTTTTGATTTATCCTCCTTCTTGTGCGGGCTCGCCCTTCAGTGCCTTCCTCTGGAAGCTTTCCTTTTTTCACCAGTTCGGTCACCCTTGAATACCTTCTTTTTCTCCTCTCTGCTTGTGGTCTTGGCCGTTTGATGGCAGCTGGTCTTGGCGGAACCGGGAAAACTTCTTTCGTGTTCCTGCTTGGACCTCGTTGCTGGCCGTTCAAATTTTCCTTGTAACTTTTCCTCCGCCGCTGATGGCCCTTCCGCAGTTCGGCGACATTTGCTGCGGAGAGTCCTGTCGGATGAGTAGATCTTCCGTTTTAGGAGCCGGGTTATAGTTGCCGTCATTTCTCCTGGCTTCTCTTTGCATACGTCGTCCTTCTCCCTTCTTCATTCTGGGGGTGTTCGTGAACTCTCTTTTTCTGGACGGTGGAACGGCTTCTTTTTCTTGTTACCTTCAATTTTTCCGCGGGGAAATTTCTTTTCACTTGCTCCTGCCTCTTAATGGCTTGCCCTTGTACTTGTCGTTTTTTTCCACCTCTGGAGCTTGTGCCTGCGGTGTCTGCCGTGCCGGATCCTGCAAAAGATCTGAAAATATTTGCATTTTATTACGATCATAGTAGGGTTTGATTTGATCAATGTTTGCGGAGCAGGTTTCACCATTTCCTGGCTTTTAACACTACTACAGCGTGAGTTATTTTTTCTATGACATATGGTCCTTCAAATCGTGGAAAAAATTTGGCAGTTTTTATCTTCTGGTGCTGAAGAAAGTGAATGCTTAATTTTTAACACTTCATCCCCTACTTTATAAGTTACTCCCCGTCGTTTCAAATCATAATAGAGCTTCTGTTTTTTCTTTGTGCTACTTCAGTATTCTTTTTTGCTTCTTTTTATAATTTTTCTATATCACCCATTTTAAATTCTGGGGCTCTTTGTTGCACATAAAATAATTTATCTAACGGCGTTATAATCTTTCTTTCTGCCTAAAAATAACTCAGCAGGAGTTTTTGCCCGTTGTATCATGTTTTGCGGTCCTAAGGGCGAAAGCAAATTCATTGACATAGTTATCCCAGCTTTTATGAAAATTTTTAACATAACTACGGATAATTTTCACTATATTTCTATTGACCCGTTCCGCTATATTTGATTGCGGCGGCCGATACGGGACCATTTTTAAATGACGTATGCCCAGTTTTTGGCACATGTCTTCAAATATATTACTTACAAATTGAGGACCATTATCCGATATAACTTTTAGGGGCGCCCCGTATTTTAAAATATATTTATTTAAAATAGAATCAGTAACTAATTTCGCGGAGGCTCGTTTTAAGGGAACAATTTCGGTCCACTTACTAAAATGATCAACCATAACAAGGAGATAGCGACTTTTATTTAACTGACTTTTTGGGAAAGGGCCCAATAAATCGATGCCAATTATTTCATTTGGAAATTCGGATTTAATACTATTTAGAAACCCGGCCGGGCGGAAATTAATATAATTAACTGCTTGACATGTTGGGCAGGACTGGACATACGCCCTTGTTAACTTTTGCAGTTCAGGAAAATAGACTGCCTCGCGTACGCGTTGGATAGTTTTTTTCGAATACCAGCATGAGAAAAGCTAAAGGGCTGTCATGGAGCTCCTGCAGGATATTTAATCTAAGACTAGCTGGGATAACAGGTCGAAATTCGTTGTTGGAATTCGTAGTTTTTGTATAAAATAATAGACCATCTATTAGTTCGTAATGGGCCGCCCTATTTCTTATCGCCACAATATCTTGGTGGCTAAAATTTTCAGGATCCTTTAAATACTCATAAATGCTTCCAAACTCAGGATCCTTACCCAGTTCGGTTATTACAGTTTCTCGGGAATTTATTGTACATGCTGTGAGCATTGCCACCTTTACAGTATTACCTTCTTCATCTATTTTAATTCTGGATAGGGCATCTGCTACGATATTTTCCTTTCCGGGGGTATGCTTGATTACCAGATTATATTCTTGTAGCTTGAGTGCCCATCTTATTAACCTTGGGGATAAGTTTTTTCCCTGAGTACAATCTAGTTACCGCCGCATGATCAGAGTACACTGTTATTGGCGCCTTTCCAAAATAGACTCGGAACTTTTGCACTGCTAACAGAACTGCAAGTGCCTCTCTCTCGGTCGCGGAATAGTTTCTTTGTGTTTGATTTAAAGTTCGGCTAAAAAATGCCACGGGCTGCTGATTTTGCGAAAGTACCGCTCCTACCGCATAATCCGAAGCATCCGCTGAAATTTCTAAATTCTCATCCTTTTCAGGAAATTTCAACACAGGGGCTTGCGTTAATGCTTGTTTTAATTTTTCGAAAGCACTATTGGCTTCGGCCGTCCACGAGAATCTTGCCTTTTTTTCCTTTTTAATTTTAACAATGGTTCAGCAATAGCTGCAAAATCTTTTATAAAGGACCTATAATATGAACAAAGTCCTAGAAAAGAAGAGAGCTTCTTCGCCGTGTTTGGAGTCGGATACTTTTGTACAGCGATTATTTTTGATTCGTCTGTCTCGATTCCTTTTTGAGATATTTTGTAACCTAAATATTTTAATTCAGGGGCTGCAAATTTGCACTTTTCGACATTAACTTTTAGACCGGCCTCATTTAA